GGGTGGCCCGAGCTGGGTTCCCTCCCTGCGGGTGCCCCTGCGAACCCCTGCTGACCTCCTTGAGGCGGCTGCTAACTAAGGGGCAATGACTCCCCCACCACGTTGCCAAAGCTGGAAGCAGAAGACAGTACAAGACCTCTAAGCAACCCCAAACCCACATCCAATGCACGTGTTAACCACAGGGCATGTAGATGCTTCCGCCGCCTCAGGAGGTTGAGGTTTGACACACTCACTCCACTATAACAGGCTGGGTTTGGCACCTGTGGAAGATAAAGCTTTCAGCTGCCACCTCTGGAGGTGCCTCTTTGTAAACCTGGAAATTCTGAATTGATAAGAGTTAAACTACCCTTTCTAGTCAACAGTGACTCAGGGGAGTATTGAGTACGGCTGGGAACTGTTGCCAAATGTCTGCAGTCCATGCTGGCGTAAATGCGCTCTTTCCGCCTCTGACGTGCTCCATACCTCCCTGCTGCCTGAGCCCTCTGAGAGACACAAAGTGATGCCACCAAGTGCAGCAAGCTCCAGGATGTGAAAAGTTCAAAGTGTCCTAACCCTGGAGCAGGCCAAGCAGTGTGTGAATAGAAAGCCAGATGCTGCTCATTACCATGTGAAATTAGTGTACATAATGAGACACATCAGCACGGATACAGGATCGGGTCATCATTTATAATCTGTTTAAGTGGTCATCAGCAATGGAAGAGTCAAGTTAGAAAAAAAATCAAGCTCTGGGGTGTATTTAAAAGAGAAGAATGAGAGACCTCTGCTTTATGTGGTTCGATTTTTAATAAGCAGAGTGTAAGTAAGTAGTTCACACTCAAACACAAACCGTATGGCTGTGTATGATTAAGGCATACATAATTTCTCACCCATGTTTTTGACCTTTTATGATCACTGACCACAGGAAGAGCTGCAGGAGCTAAAAATGTACTACTCTATACAGCCCCCAAATTTGAATCCTGGCAGCTCTCCCTTACTCAAGTCTCCCTGTTCCAGCAGAAAGAAGGAGCAGTTTACCCTCCTTTTACGCATCAGAGGAGAAGAAAACTATTCAGCTTTGCAAGTTCTTGTAGAACAATGGCATCAGACACAAAGCTGAGAGAGAAACAAAGCAGGCCTTCCTTTAGAAGGCATAGAAATCCTTGTCTAGAAGGTTGTCCCTGACCTCAGCAATAGACTCTCTCCCATAAAAGGGAGGCTTTAAATCATGTCACAGTCACTCCATCCCAGAATACTTTGGCTGCAGGCAGCTGGTTTTTGGCTAGTTCAAAATCTGACATACATATAAAGAGAAACGCAGAAGGAGCTTAGAGGACTGTTGTGCAGATATGCAGCAGTTCAGGTACCAGAAGGAGAAAGGAAATAGCAATATTCCTGTGTTTATAGAGCTGGAAATTAAACTGGTGTCTGCCTTTGTTCCTATAGGTTACAAATAGTTATTTTCTATCTCTGAATAGAGAGAAATGGCAAATTTCTCCCCAAATGGCAAATAAACGTGTTGACACAAGATTTGTGGAAATCACTCACCATTTTTTTCTTCACTGTCTTATTTTCTTTCATCTCAGTGTTGCTTTTCTGGTTATTCTCCATTCTGTCACCTTGTTAGTCAATAGCTGAGGAGGAAAAGAGGGAAAGTTGTGGCATTTGGCTGAGACTTTTGTTTTCTTTTAATAAAACTATAAACCTGGCTTAGGAAGAAGTCCTTGAAAAAGTCTGTGAGGAATTAGCTACTTCATTAAAACACAAGAAGCTCCATCTCCATATGAGGAAGAACTTCTTTCCTGTGAGGGTGACAGAGCCCTGGCACAGGCTGCCCAGAGAGGTTGTGGAGTCTCCTTCTCTGGAGATCTTCCAAACCCACCTGGATGCCACCCTGTGCCACGTGCTCTGGGTGTCCCTGCTGGAGCAGGGGGGTTGGACTAGATGATCTCTAGAGGTCTCTTCCAACCTCAACCATTCTGTGATTCTGTGTGATTCAAAAATCTGACTCTCATCCAGGAAGACGTCCTATCCATGGCAGCAGCAAACTGAATATAGTCAAAAGCAACCAAGAAAACACATGCTAAGCATGTTTAAATTGTCTCCTCAGAGGGCTACAGGTCCTTTGGAGCTGGCATAGTATTTCCTAGCACAGTACAAAGTAGCAAATCAAGGGAAAAACAAAACAAAACAAAACAAAAAAAACAACTACAAAAAAACTATGGCGTCATAGAATCAGAGAATCATAGAATCCTTTAAAGGACCTTTAGAAATCATCTAGTCCAACCCCCCTGCACACGCAGGCTCACCTAGAGCATGTGGCACAGGACTGCGTCCAAGCGGGGTTTGAAGATCTCCAGAGGAGATTCCACAACCTCTCTTGGCAACCCATTCCAGTGCTCCATCACCCCCACTGAAGTGTCAGGCCCTTTGGTGAACATGCTTTGTTGCAATGGGATGAAGTGCTGAAATTATTCAGTGAATCTACGCAGAAAGTGACCATTAGACACACTGGATTATCCAGGCTTTATACTGTGTTTTGTTGTATGATCTTGAGTAATTCACCAGTTCAATTCACCTGGAAGGATTACTGCCCTATTCCGTTTAAGCCTCTTGAAGACAGCATGATCTTTCGTTACTTGGACATTATGATAGCATAACAATATAAATGGTAATGATAGATCCAGTCTCAAACACAAGACATCTTGTAGACAAGAGTCTACAAGATAGTTAGCTTTGGCAGATGTGGATCATTTTGCCGACTAGCAAGTTGGGTTGGAAGTCCTGTAGAGGCCAAGATACCTGCAGCAGGAAGATCTAAGTAGAAATCCTTTTTTTTCTTTTTTTTTTTTTTTTCACAGAAGATCTGCCATTGGCAGTAACTGGATCACCTCTTCAGACAGTGTCAAGATCTCAAGTTGAACTTTAGAACATCCGAAACTAGAGAGATGACAGCACCCTATAGGCACTAAAAACAGAGAAATATCCATCCTTCCCTTTTGCCTTCCCCTCAGTAAAACCAATACTGAAAACTTGCAAACAATTCCTTTCCCTCTGCTGCAAAGGGCTTCAGTGAATTCCTGCTAAATTGCTCTTCAGAAAGGGCCTTGAAGGCAAAAATTCCACTTTATCAGAGATTTCCTTAGTCTTAGCATCCACAGTTCTGCTGTTGCAAGCCACGTTTAACAAGCGTGTCAAAATTAATCAGTCATACTAGGTCATTAGGCAATGAACAAGGAAATATTCAGGCAAATAATTTGATTAGTGAAGTGTTACATATTTGGCAGATCAAACTGCAGTTTAAGAGTTTACAGGATAAACAGTGTATAGTCATAATCTGTTGTTTTTTCTTCTGGGAAGTTTAACAGCTAACAGTGCTCACTTGCAAACTATGCCTCATATGTTTCAGGTCACTGTAGATTTGCAACTTTCAAAATCCACATAACTACCAAAAAGGGAATGTTACCATACGTGGGACAGACATCCAGTGTGTGCAGAAAACAAGAATTTTGGTCCAAGGAGGGAGTATAACTGACTGAAATCTTGCATAGATTGATCAATGTTACTTATGCAATCTAATTTACAAGTGGAGAGAGGAGGCACTTAAAAGCTTAGAGCAAGCTTCAATCTAATTTACAAGTGGAGAGAGGAGACACTTAAAAGCTTAGAGCAAGGTCTCCAAATTGCTTGCCAAAGCATCCAGAAGGAACATTTCATTTAGGGCAGTGGAAGTCTGAGACTGGCACTGTTGCTGCTGGCCTTTTGCTAAAATGGGGATGGGGAAAAAAGTGCGAGAGACTGGGGAGAAAGTGAGGTTCTTGTTGCTGGTAGCAGGGACACTGCTTATGTTGGGGATTCAGAAGTATAAGATTCATTATTTATTCCTTATCATGGCATATCCACTCCCTGACTTACACAATTAATCAAAAGGCAATCACAAAGCAAGCTGGAGGCACCTTCCAATTAAACTTTGTGAACTAAAAGTTTGCTTACCTACTCAAGTTTATCAACTGCACATAGGTTGAGTTTGTTAGTGGGAAACGTCATCCAGCCAGCTCCTACGATTTGTTGGCCATGGCAGAGCAGAATGGGAGCGTTATGCCTTGTAGCACAGACTGGACTAAGCAATGCGGAAATGTGCTGCAGTCTAGTTTGGGTTTTGCATTTTTATTGAACATGTAGCAATTCCTGAATAACTACAAGATGCAGGAGAAACAAATGCTATCAGAAAGTTATCTTGTTTACAAAGAGTAAGTATTCAAAGGAACAGTTTCAGAAGAACTCAGATTTTAAAAGTCATGTTTGTTATATTAAACGTCAAACTTGTCCAGGGGATGACCACAACTATACCCAGAAAGGTATAGTTAAAGGCCACAGTTATTAAGAATCCCCCTAAAACTAAGAAGGGTAAAAAATGGATGAAATTATTGAAATAGCACAGTTATTTTTGTTGACAGACCTGAGCACGAGGCACTGCCTGGCCCTGTAGCCAGTCAGAACCCATTTGCCATCTTGTCTGCATGGGTCTGGCCTTGCACTGGGCTGCCAGTCGCTCCCCCAGGAGCAATAGAGGCAACGTAAGCCAGCTTCAGGACATGTATCTGCAATTTGAAAGGTTCTAGGGACAAAAATTCCTCACCATGGGCATACACCTGTCCATCTCCAATGCAGAAATGTATTACCTCTGCAGTAGTACACACAGGGGAAATGAGGAATAGTCAGAAGAGCAGCTTCCAGCAGATAAAATTCCTTTGTAATTATAAATCAACACAGTCTCCCAGAGGTTGTAAAGGACGGCTTTGCAGTCCTCAGAGTAAGCCTCTTTGAAGCATAGCATGTAGTGTGATTGGGGGTACGCCTGTTTTAAAAGGCGAAAAAAAAAAAAAAAAACACCAGGGAGACAACACTAGAATGGCATATGAATTGCAAAGTTTTGGAAAAAATGTTGGTGTAAAAATAACCCAACCTGGTAAGTCCTCCTGTGCCATAGTAGATGGATATATAATAATTAAATCTCACTTGGCAAACATCTCTTCTTGGTAAGTACACTTTTCCCTCCTCTCTACACCCTGTCTCTGATCTGAAAGGGCAAAATCATCCAGCTTAAGTACTTTAGCTCCTTATACATTATACAAGAAAGAGGCAGGAATTTCAGAGAATTTTATTTATTTTAATTCAATCCTAAAACTCTAGTATATTTTATTTTATTTTATTTATTTTAATTCAATCCCAAAACGCTAGTAAAATGGAGTGAATAAGAAAAGTTTTGAATCTTACTCCTGTCCTCAGCTTGTGTGCTTAAAGCTACTGCTGCTGCCTTCTTGCACTCAACCGATAGCCAAAATCCCCTTGGCTGGGCACTTGTGCCCTTCAGAAGGGGAGAAACTCCCACAAGGAAGTGAGCTTGAGCTCAGTACTTCCCCGGGCTTCCAGACAGATGCTGTTGTCAATAGTCTACAGAATGTGCTTAAATGAAGATTTTTCTGTGTCTGGTACTGTAAATCACACCTGCACACTCTCACACAAGGAATTCTACCCTAGGTTAATGAGAAGATTGAATACCTAGAATACCCATTTTGAAGACTAAATGTAAAGTTTTTATGTTACCCAGATCAGGAACACTTTGCATATCAGATCCCCCCCTATCTGGTTAAAATAGGTCTTCTTGAGTTCCACCATGAACTGAAAGGATTAATTTTTGGCCAAGTAGCTTTGTTAAACTCGATGCATTCTAGTCCAAGGAAGATTCTGCAAGTCAATGCTTCCTACATTGGTGGTATAAAATGTCAAACCATTCCCACACTGAAGTATTATTGTTGGATTCAGGTATGGCAGGATCTTAATTTGACAAATTCCAGTGCCACTTAGTGTCCAGGACTGGCATCCTGCAACACTCCAGCTTCCAGAAATACCTGTTCTCTTAAGTAACCAGTTGATACACTGTTGCAATATTTATACATCTCTTTTTCCATCTGTCTGCAACATTACTCCTAATGTGTTTTTACAAGAAAATCAATATTTTATATTCCAATTTCAGTATTTCATACAGTTCACAGTCTGATCTTTTCTACTGAGAAGCAGAAATATTCTATTTTAAAACCGAAAGTTATTTTTATATAAACTGGAGAAAAGCTGAAGCAATTTTCCATTAGAAATCTATTAATAAGGAGAGGAAGACTATCAGAGTTAAAGGCTGTTTAGTAAGAAGCTGAGTATTTATTTGATTAACATGAGAAATTATTTGCTCACTGGTACAGATTTCACAAAACTGGTTTATATTAGGTTAAATCTTTCCTTCCCTCCCTGATTTGAACCCTTAAGGATGTTGCCAAGTTTGAGGAGCTGGTCCAAACTATCAACTGCAGCTTCTGGGTATTACTCACCAATTATCCAAAGTAGTCTTCGTTTTCAGGGTTCTCTGAAGATCATTACAGTTCAGAAGCAAATTTAGGACAGGCACAACAGCCCTCTTCTCTGAAATAGAAATGGCTAAATTACTGAATTACACTTAGAGCCAGTTTTAACTCTTTTATATGTTTTCAGGAGTAATTAATAATTAACCATAATAGGTAATTATTGCAAGATGCTTCAACCAGTGTTCATACCAGGTA